GTGCTTTCTTATCACAATCAGCTCCTTCAACAAGCTTTTTCTGTTGCTGTAAGCCTTTGGGTAGTTATAGAGGGTTAGGAAAGTTGATCCCTCTCCTTTCTTTCGATACATTCATATTTCTTTTTGAGGTATAGGGTCTTACTGTGTATCCCAAGCTGGCCTTAAACTCGGAGAGCCATCTGCCTACATTTCCCTCTCAAGTGCTGGAATTAAAGGCATACTTTTGAGTTCTTAATACATTAATCATAGTTTTGGTTTTGTTTGACATAGTGTCTCACTATGTAGCTTTGGTTGGCCTTAAACTATACGAATGGACTTTGGAAGCCCATTCCACATAGAGAGATACTCTCTCAGCCTAGACACACAGGGGAGAGCCTAGGCCCTGCTCCAAATGATGTGACAGACATGGAAGGCCTCACCCTCCCTGGGGAGCAGAAAGGGGAATGGGATAGAGGGTCAGTGGGGGGCAAGGGAGGAGGGGAGAGGGGAACTGGGATTGACATGTAAATGAAGCTTGTTTCTAATTTAAATTAAAAAATAGAAAAAAAACTAGTGGTCCTCCTGCATCAGCTTTCTGAGTGCCCAGGCATGTACCATAATACTTGGTTTATTCTTAGTTATTTTAAATTCCTTATGTGATAATCCTCAAGTCTGTGCCTCATCTTCATCTGGTTCTGATGCTTATTTTTCTATTCAGATAGGTTTTCTTCCCCTTTTGCATACCTTGTGTTGTGTGTGTTCGCACACTGGATATGGTATATTGGGTGATACAAACTGAAATAAATAGGCCTTTAGTAAAGGGTTTATGTTCCTCAGTCAGGAACTGAGCCATTAAAATTTTTTCATTCATTCTTTCATTCCTTCATTCATTCACTTTGTATATGTGCATGCATGCAAGTGTGTGGCTGCACATGATGAGGTCAGAGGGCAGTTTGCAGGGATTGAACCTGACTTCAAACAAGTGAATTCAGCTTAGAGAGATGGCTCAGCATTAAGAGCACTAGCTACTCTTCCACGGGACCCTGGTTCAGTCCCCAGCACCCACATGGCAGCTCACAACTGTCTGTAATTCCAGTTCCAGAGGATCTGACACCTTCACACAGACATGCATGCAGGCAAAACACCATTGCACATAAAAATAATTAAAAGAACATGTGAGTTCTGGGAATGTGACTCGGGTTCTCAGGGTTAGCAGCAACCACCCTTACCTGCTGAGCTATGTCACTTCCCTGGCCCATTTCTAATGGTAGACATTTAGTTGCTACTGCAGTGTCTCTCAACCTTCCTAATGCTGTGAACAGTTAATACAGTTCCTCATGTTGTGCTGACCCCAACCATAAAATGATTTTCATTTCCACTTCATAATTAATTTTGCTACTGTTATGAATCAATGTAAATATCTGATATGCAGGATATCTGATATGCGGCCCCTGAAGGGGTTGAGATCCACAGGTTGAGAACCACTGTTCTAGTGCCTTTTTGGTTTTTTTCTACCCTTAGGCCCTTTCCTTTCCCTAAGAGCTTTAAATAGGTGTCTTGCTTGCACCACTTTTTGGTGATGATCCATTGTTCTGTACTGGATTCCTGTTGAAATGGTGGGAGAGAATAAGATGGGGAAAGTGCTTTGTAATGTAGGGCTTCAGTTGGGCACAAGCCCTTGGCTGTATTGTTAGGGCTGCTGCTTCTCTTTTCCCCTTGTGTTGGTGAAACAAGGAACACGTGGACTAGAGCTAATTAATTCCCCTTCTTCCAGGGGACCTAAGCTTCTGATATATTTTGTTGGGGGTTTTGGCCCTTGTTATTGAAGAACATTCTGAATGTATTTGAACTGGGCCAGATGGACAGACTTGCAATCCTGGCTATTTGAGAGGCTGAGGCAGGAGATTCCAAGCACAAGTGTGCCTGGGCAACAAGAGTGAATTTACTTGAAAACTGTTGCTTTCTCCAGTGTGCATTTAAAAAATGCTTACATTCTCCTTCCACAAAGGGGAGTTTTGTGGGTTTTTGTTTGTTTGTTTTTGTTTTTGTTTTGAGACAGGGTCTCTGTGTAGCTGTGGCTGTCCTGGAACTCCCAGGCTGGCCTAAAACTGCCTCTGTGTCTCAAGTGCTGGCATTAAAGGCAGGCACCACCATGCCTAGCAAGGAAGAACTTTTTATATAAATTTTCATTTAAATTAGAAACAATCTCATTTTACATACAATCCCAGTTCCCTCTCCCTCCCATGCTCCCCAGCAACATCCCCATCCCACCCCGCTAGCTATGCACTCCCCAGGGAGGGTGAGACCTCCCATGGGAGATCATCAAGTCTGTCACATCATTTGGGGCAGGGCCTAGGCCCTCCCCTGAGCATGTAGGCTGAGGGAGTATCCCTGCATGGAGAACGGGCCCCCAAAGTCCATTCGTGTAGAAATTCTTATTGGCTCTTACTTCTGGGAATGTTTTAGAATGGTTACTTTTCCTCTCCTACGAAGGGGAGGAGATTTCAGAGTCAGAGAGTGGTGAGATTGTTGGAGGCAAAGCTCTGGAGTAGGAGGGTCTTTTGGAACTCTCACTGCAGGAGCTTCTCTCACTTGGCATTTTCAGGGTTATTTGCTTTGCTAATACTTTCCCTTAGAGTCTTGTGCCTCAGGTAAGTGTCTTGGGTGTGATTGCATGTATTTGCCCATCTTGAGGTAGGGGGCTGTTTTGTGTCCTCGGTTCTCTGGTGGGTTGGAGCAAATTTGCCAATTTTCAATTTCTTAGGGTTTTTCTTGCTGTAATGGCAGGAATGGTGATATATCTAAGCACTGCATGTGTTGGAGCTGAAACTGGAAGTCCTACGTTTATATTTTAAAATTAGAAAGATCTTGTCCAGTTTAAAAATAATGTTCTGCAAGAGGGTTTTCAATTTTGCTGTGAACCATTTGCTTAGCTAAGATGACTCATCCTCAGTTATTTTCATCCTTTTGAATCTTAGATCTCTATTTTCATATGTTTAGTAAGAACTTTTTCAGAACAAAATATGTGAAAAGCTTAAGAACTTCACACAGTTCTTGAAAATTGCTAAGAAATGTGCCCTGAATTAATTAAAAATATTATGACTCTTGATTACCCCCCAGCATTGTTTTTGATTTGTCAGCTACCTTTTATAGAATATGCTAAAGTAGTTCTGGGGATTTTTCTTTACTATTTCACCCTATTTGTTTTTGCAAAAGTAACTCAATTTCTAAGGCACTTCCAAATCTCTAGAGACTCAGCCCTGTTTAAATGTGACAAATGAATGAGAATAAATGTGGAAATCTTATACTGCCAATGACTTGTTTTCAATTAGCCCTGAGGAATGAACTAATTATAAACTCTAGATCTTGGTGACTTTAGCTTAATAGGACTACTTTTATAATCTGTGCAACAGAGCACAGTTCATCTAAAATGTGTTATTTATCCAGCTGAGAAAGTACTTTGCATACTTTGAAGCCTTATAATTTGATAACTTGCTAATAATTTTAATTTGGGGAAGCTTCAGTTCTTATTCTTGGGTAACAGTTGCAACAAATCTCGGGTGATTGACACGCTGTAAATTTTGTTAACCCCACCCCTTTTCTAGGGTTTATTTTAAATTTTGGTTTTCCCACAGAAAGTACTGTGAGGAATGGTGATTAAACCAAGACACAAATTAGTTGTATAGTGTCTAAAATTGGTTATTAATTGGCAAAGTCTTACTGTGTTAGTGTTGAGAAATTTTTTCCCTGTTTTATTATACCCAATTGTTTACATAACTATCTGTATCTTGGAAAAAATGTTTTTTGAAGGAGATGAATTAAAATGTTAACTATGATGAATATAGTTTTTAACTCAGCAGATAAAATTACTTTATAAATGATTTGCTACATTGCAGGGTAATTAAAATATTAGTTATTTGTTATGTAAAAATTATCTGTGGCCCAATCATGGTGAGACTCATTTATTATTCTCTGAATTGGAGGCAGAAAGCCCTGCACTCTGCTTTTGCTTTGAGGACTTTGTCACAAAAGAGTAGGGGCTCTAGGGAGGAAATGGTTGAAGACTAGCAAGTCTTCAGAACTGCTCAGCTCATATTTTGCCTCATACTAGTTTTCACCCACGCTAGGGATGGTCTCAATGCTCCTCCTGAAAATGCTTTCATCTTAAACTCTTCATATAGCATAATTACATCCTCCTGACTGCTGTGCCATCTCTCCAGGTCCCCACCATTTTTGACACCCTCTTTACATTGTGTTTCCACCAAAGCTCACTTCAACATTATTAGTACCAAGTCCTCATCCTTTTACTAATCTCCATGTTCCTTGCTCTAATCCTGTCCTGCCAACCTTCCCGCTTGCCCTGCAAGCCTTGGAAACCCATTTGTAATTTCTTCAATGGCCTTGGTCTTGTCCTAGTTTCACAGTGTAATCTTTGTATCAGCATTCAGGCTTTTCTGCTGATAAGTGGTATCTGACATAACTGTTCTGTGACTCTCATCCCTTACACTACCCACTTGTTCAACAGCTACCTTAACTTCCTGCCTTTTAATTCTTTGAATATAGCAAATTCTTTACCTTTCAAATCTCTGCTGTTTCTTTCACATCTGGCAATAATTTTCTTATTTCGTGTCTTGCTACCTCTAATCATTCTGGCTGGGGCTTTCTTACCTTACTCTTTGTCAGTGCCTCCTGGTTGTTATCTTCTCAGCATCCATTTACATTTGCAACTATTGTATATTCACTTGTTCACTGAGACATCCTTTGATTATAAGATATCACATACAGCTGTTTCTGAAATTAAGGTGTAAGATATAGCTTACACTAGGTTTCTTGATTCCTTTTGGAATTATAAAATGACTTGTAATAAATTATATCATATATTTAATAAAATGTTATACTTTTTGAGACAAGCTTTCACTCACTCTGTAGCTCAGGATAACTCAATAGGTATCCCAGGCTGGTCTGGAATTCACTAGGTAGCAGAGGTAGGCCTAGAACTCTGAGTGTTCCTTCCACTTTAGTCTTCTGAGGGCTGGAGATTACTGTCATGTACCAGCAAAACACCATATTTGAAATGATCTGCTTTTCACCAGTTGATTGCACATTCCACAAGTATATTCTGCTTTACTCACCAGTAAGAGCCCATGCCTATTATAGTACATTTTACCTAGTAGACAATAAATAATGGATGAATGAATATCATTGTCTCTCTTTGAGAAATGTTGGTCCAACTTCTGAAGCTGCATCAATCAGTATATGAGTATGAATTGTTAATATGCCAAAGAGTTGACCCATTATTTTTAGAGATTGTTTTATATTGAAATGAGGAAGACCTTTACATTTATCTGTTTCCCCAATTATGTAACTTGTTTCATTATAGATACACATATGTTCTGTTGTAGGAACACGTTCCATTTATAAACATGAATTCACATAAGCTTTTACCTGGTGTCAGCAATTTTCTTTTATTAGGAGAAGGTATGAGGAAGGTACCAAACAGCAGCAGGCTTTTAAAGTTTAGGCAGGTATGACTCTTGAACTTACTTTGTCATTTACTTCATCCTCCAAGGCGTGCAATCACTTGGCGTGCCTACTTCCCTTTCAAATGCAAGAACAAGGAATGCTCAACATGGGTAACTGGAGTGCCTTAGACCAGCTCCTAGAAAAGGTCCAACCCTACTCCACAGCTGGAGGAAAGGTATGGCTCAAGGTCCTTTTCATTTTCCGAATCCTACTCCTGGGGACTGCCATCGAGTCAGCCTGGAGTGATGAGCAGCTTAAGTTCCATTGCAACACTCAACAGCCTGGTTGTGAAAATGTCTGCTACGACGAAGCTTTTCCGATCTCTCATGTGCGCCTCTGGGTCCTACAGATCATATTCGTGTCTGTGCCTACACTCTTATACCTGGCACATGTGTTCTATGCGATTCGTCAGAAAGAGAAGTTGAACAAGCAAGAGAAGGAACTTGGAGTTGTTCATTTGAATGGCACCAGTGTGGAAATGCACTCGAGGAAAACTGAAGTAAAGAAGTTCAAGTGTGGCAGTGAAGAACAGAGTAACATGAAAATTAGAGGCAGGTTGCTGCTAACCTACATACTCAGTATCTTCTTCAAGTCTGTCTTTGAGGTGTCCTTCTTGCTGATCCAGTGGTACGTTTATGGTTTTACCCTGAAGGAAATTTACATTTGTGAATACCCTCCTTGCCCTCATCAGGTGGACTGCTTCCTCTCTCGACCCACAGAAAAAAACATCTTCATCATCTTCATGCTGGTAGTGTCCCTGGTGTCTTTAGTCTTGAATGTCATTGAGCTGTTCTATGTTTTACTTAAGGCCATTAAGAATTGTGTGAGAAATCATGATGAGGTTTACTGTGGTACAACTGACCTACAGAGCGTTTCCCATGTGTCCTCAACAAGAGTTCTCCCTAACATGCTTCCTAAGGATCAGGTGATTCCTGAGGATCATTCTTCAGTCTATATTTAAAGTGAGCAAAATCATGTCAGTTACGGTGCATAACAGAGTGAAAGGGGGAAGGATAAGCAGGAAGTAACCTTTTGGCTTGCACTCAGCCTTTTCTTCGCCCTGATGATAAGTAGAATTCTCAGAGGGTTTGGGTGGAGAGAAAAGCAAAACAAAGATACTGAACACTAACGCTGTAGAGTAGCAGCTATCCAGCAGTAGCGGGGGTCACAACAACAGCAGCCTGATATCCTAGGTACTGCGATTTATGCTTAAATACATTGTGATTTTGCTTAGTTGCTGAAGACAATCAAAGTGTAGTAGAAAGTGTACCCAAGCTTCAGTACGGATGATGTTCAATGGCCTCAATTGTGAGAACTAGCAGATACAAAGGCATTAGACCGAAAGAGTCTGCGATAGGGAGTGGAAGAAACTTGTAACCAAGACATGTGTTAGTATTTATAAAGTGCTTGACTCTGGAGGCTTAGAAATCTAGCCCAGTGGTAGATGATTTGTCTAGCATTTGTGAGACCTCCAGTAGCAGAAGAATAAAGAAATAGTCACTTAAACAAATGAACTAAATAAAATGGTTGACTCAAAGAACTTTTAGTCCAAATTTAACTTGTATTAAGTAATGTAAAAGGGCCTTTCATCTCCCATGTTACCCTAGAATTGTTCTGTGTATGGGGAAGAGTGACTTATTATTTGTCTGTAGAAGCAGATACAGTGTAAATTCACAAACCTACATTTTAAAATAATACATATATACCATTGAAAGTTGAGCCTTTCTCTTGGATTTTATTGTTTGGGCCCGTACTATGTTTAAACTGTTTAATTCCTATGTAAAAGTAAATGATCCTTTCCCTTAAGATGCATCCCCCAATTTATTGAATAATATGTAATAATTCTATTAATTGTAATGAGTTTTGTTTTTCTCTTGTATATTCTAGCAGCAATCCTATTGCTGACACTATTTATTTTTCCATTCCAAGATAGAGTCAGAGCCCTGAAATGTAACAGTTGTACAGAAAACAACACTTGTGAATACTACAAACTTAAAGAAATGCTTAGAGGTGAACTATGAAATGTGCCTACATGAATTTGGCAATAATGGTCATTCTTGGCTTTGTTCTAAATAATGCCTATTAATTCAGATGTAAACTTGTGCTGTGAGTTTGGCAGTCTCCTGGGATGACTGGCATTTTTCATATTCATATTAAGAGTTTTTTTGGAAGGCAGGAGAGGGTGAGGGAGGTTTGTGAAATACCTGTGTAATTGATTTGGAACATGTAAAATAAATGCTAACCATTTCTTCTAATGCCTTTTAAAATATTCCACAGGTGATTTGACTTTTGTTCTTGCTCCACACACAATTTTATTCAAGAAATATTAATTTGCTTATCATTTGATGTTAAACTGCTGTCATGTTCAGCTTTGTTTCATGCAATACAGGCCTATCATATCTTATTCTAGAGAATTCTTTATTCAATAAAGTTGTGAGAGAGTGGTCCATTTGTATTCCTCCTCTGATAGCTTCTGACTGGTCTTTTGAACTCTTCATTGGTGTATCTTAATTTAAGCAAACTAAGCTGGGTGTGGTGGCTCATGAGGGCAAAGGCAATTGCAGAGTGTTCTAGGCTAGCTTGGACTACAGTGTGAGACATTTCCCCCACCTCCTGCCCATGAACCAAAATAGGATGTAATCACAGTTTTTGAAATTCAGGTGGAGTGACTCTTGTGACATGATTCTAGGATCAGCATTCTTCATTTTATGTAATAGAATCATGGGTATATCCAAGACTTCCAGATATGCAAAAAGAATGTAGTTGGGTTTTTTCCCTTCCTTTTTAAGGGATGTACTCTCATCATTAAGCATCTTCCCACTCTAGGCAACTGGGGGAAATGGAGAACACAGGAACAGACCATCAAACCTGTAGTTTATAACTTCTGCTTCTGACAACTGACACAGATTTATTTGGAAAACCTAGCCTCCTAGTTAAATGATGAGTTTCAGATTTTCTTTTTAGAAGTGGTTTGTGAAGATTAATCAGTTACTTAGTAATGGGCCTTGTGCCTTCGGACACTGCAAAACTTCTGAAGCCTTAGAATCAGATTGGGCACTGCCACTGCCACCCCTTATACCTGTTTCATTCATTTTCACTTGTAGCTTGCTTGTTTTCTTTACACATTTTACTCTGAGATAATTGCAGATTCAAACATAATTGTAAGAAATAACAGGTTCTGCGTATCGTTATATTCAATAGTAGCTTTTTTGGAGACAAGGTCTCTCTTTGTAGCCCTGTTTGGTTTGGATTTTGCCTTTAAGGAACTTGCTATGTAGATAAGACTGGCTTTGAACTCACAGAGATCCACCTGATTTTGCCTCCATAGTGTTGGGATTAAAAGTGTGTACTATCACATCTGGCCAAATAAGTGTTTTTAAGAATGTTATAGAACTGGGTGTCATGTATGCCAATCTGGTCTTGAAGCTGTGATGCTTTACTATGAAGCTGAAGATGACCTTGAACTTCTGATCCTCTTGCCTTTCCCTCCTTAGTGCTGATATTAATACTGTATGCCACCATGCTTGGTTTATACAGTGCTGCAGATTTTTCCCATGGCTTTGTGTATGCCAGGCTAGCACTCTGCCACTGAGCTACACCACCAACTTTTACTGTTTATTTTTTGTTTGTGTTTGTAGCCTCCTGATGGTCTTGAACTCAGTATGTAGCTAAGGGTGACTTTGAACTTCTAATTTTTTCTGCTTCTACCTCCCATCTACTAGAATTAGAAGTGTGCACCATTATACCTGTTAACTTTTAGCATAATTTCATAGGTAGAAAATTAACATTGACATAATCCATTAACTTTCAGATTTCAGCAATTTTATATACACTCATTGAGTTTAGTTATGTATGACTTTATAATTTGTGTAGAGTGGTTTATAACTTGTCTAGAGCTGTGTGTCCACTACAGTCAAAATACACAGTAGTTTTAGCAATACTACCTTTTTATAGTCATAGCCACATCTTTTCCTTATCCCCGGCCCTTGGAAATTCCTAATCTTTATTAAACCAGTATAGTTTTGTAATTTCAAGGATGCTATTTAAACAAATTATATAAGCTGGCACATGTGGAGGCCAGAGGTTGTTACCAGCTGGAGAACCCGGGAGGAATGTGGTCATTCTTTCTGGGCCAGAGCTAGAAGTGTGTGTGTGTGTGTGTGTGTGTGTGTGTGTGTGTGTGTGTGTGTGTGTGTGTGTGTGTGTGTGTGTGTGTGTCTGTGTCTGTGTGTGTATGTGTCTGTGTGTTATAATAAAGATCCCCAAATAAAGTCTATAAGCAACACTTTAAAAATTATTTTTGAAATAGGGTCTGTATATCTGTGTGGCTCAGGTTTACCTTGAATGTACTGTGTAGCACAGAGTGGCTTCAAACTCATAATCCCATTGCCCCAGCCTCCCAAGTGCTGAAATTACAGGTGTACACTAGCATACCTGGCTATAAGGAATATTTTATATGATAATGTTAGTTTATTCTTCAAACTTACTTTTATCGGGAAACTGCAGTAGACCCTTGGCTATCTATAGTCCTGGTTTGGAAATAGCTCATAGTTTTGTGAAGTTCAGAAACCTGTGAAATAAATTTAATTTGTTCCTTGACCCTAGTGAACAACTTTTGTTTTCTTTTTTGTTTGTTTGTTTTTTGTGTCATGATTGAACACATACACAACTGATTGTTTGCTTGTGACAAAGTGTTGCTTGTGTCCTGAGCTGGTATTAAACTCTCAAGCTGCCTTCTCACTTTCCCAAGTGCTAATATTACAGGCATGCACTGCCACATTCAGTTTACAGTTCTATAGTTTTAAAATAAAACTAGGTTTGAACTCCCTGGCTTGTGATGTTATTGAAGATCTTTCCCTTCTTGCTGGCTGGCAAGGTGTTAGACACACACTAAGGGGTCTTGTGCTTAGTGACATGTAGTTATCTTGGTTATCATTATGTTTTACTTGGGTTGCTATTAAGCCCTTTGAGAGAGCTGCTGTCTAGCAAACAGAGCATCACTAGCTTCAGCTCCTCAGGCGATGTACTTAGAGATCAGATGGCAAAAGTCTCTGCAAGTACCTCCAGTCAGTAGTCCTAGAGCCCTACCATGGCTCACAGGTATGGCGTGGAAGTGTTATAGCCCAGTGGTCTGCCAATCCTGGTGTAGCTCTCAGTTCTGTGGTCTGTTGGACAGGGATGTTCAGTTCCACCACCATAGTGAGGTTTAGCTTACAAATAACAGCAAGGGTTAGCAGTCTCCCTAAGGGGAAGAGGACCCAGACCTTAGGATGTAGCACCAGGTCCTATGGACATACTTGGGAACTCACTTTTGGTGTTTGTGAATGCTTATAAGCAGAGAATTTTATTTAACTTAGGTCATTTAATACTAATAGTACCCCCAGGAATATGAACCATCAATTAGACCCTGTGTTCCTCCTTCCTTCCTTCCTTCCTTCCTTCCTTCCTTCCTTCCTTCCTTTTCCTTCCTTCCTGCCTTCCTTCTCTCCCTCCCTCCCTCCATCCCTACCCCCTCTTTCTTTCTCTTTTTTTTTTGTTTGTTGAGACAGGATTTCTCTGTGTAGACTTCGCTGTCCTGGAACTCACTCTGTAGACCAGGCTGGCCTTGAATTCACAGACATCTGCCTGCCTCTGCCTCCTGACTACTGGGATTAAATCCATATGCTACCACCATCCAGTTTAGACCCAGTTTTCTTGACAAGCAGATTGAGGTACCAAGAGGTGATTAATGCCCTTCAGGCCCCTCAGTTTAGTAGTATGTGCTAGAGCCAGGATTTAAATTCCTGCAGTCTGGCAATCAAGCTGAAGTTCTTGTCCCTTTCTGGAGGTGTGATGGCCTTTGAGTTTTATGTCACCATTTTCATTAGCTTGAAATCAGGAGTGGTAGATATGTCTGAAAGAAGAGGCCACACAGTCAACTCTTCTTCTTCTTCTTCTTCTTCTTCTTCTTCTTCTTCTTCTTCTTCCTCCTCCTCCTCCTCCTCCTCCTCCTTCTTCTCCTCCTCCTCCTCCTCCTCTTTCTTCTTTTTTGGTTTTTCGAGAGACATGGTTTCTCTATATAGCTTTGGAGCCTATCCTGGCACTCACTCTGGAGACCAGGCTGGCCTCGAACTCACAGAGATCTGCCTGCCTCTGCCTCCAGAGTGCTGGGATTAAAGGCGGGTGCGACCAACACCTTTCCACAGTCAACTATTCTTAAAGAATGTTTCCAATAAGAAAGACTGGGCTTGGTTTTCCCCAGCCTCCCAAGAAACCATGTAGATAGACTTGGCAGCCTTAGTAGGAGAAAGGACCTGGTTTGTTTTGAAAGTAGAAAACAAAATTTTGTTAGAAATGTGATGTGTGGCCGGGCGTTGGTGGTACACACCTTTAATTCCAGCACTCAGGAGGCAGAGGCAGGCAGATCTCTGTGAGTTCGAGGCCAGCCTGGTTTCCAGAGCGAATGCCAGGATAGGCTTCAAAGCTACACAGAGAAACCCTGTCTCGAAAAACCAAAAAAAGAAAGAAAGAAAGAAAGAAAGAAAGAAAGAAAGAAAGAAAGAAAGAAAGAAATGTGATGTATGACTGTTTATTAATTGATAGAAATTTTAACATATGGTTTCTGACATGTATATTTATTCTATATCATATTTTTATGTCTTCTGATCAATTCTAATACTTCAGCTTCATTTTTGTCCAAATACAGAATAACTAGAAGGACATAATTCAAAGCTAGTATGTTAATATTATACATGATGATTTTAGACTCTAACTCAAGGACTTCTGTGAAGCAATTATAAGTCAGTCATGTTCCTCTATTAGAAAAGATCCAAGCTTCCCTTTACCTTGTCTTTTCAGCAAAAAACATTTCATTTTCCCCCATTTACATACAACCCCATGTACTTGGTACTATGTCTTAACAGTTTGTTCTATGCCACAAAAATACAGAGTACTGAATATAAATTTTCTGCTGTTTTGTTACAAAATAATGTATATTTTTCTCCAAAGTCTTCTGTTAATTTACATTTTTTCCAAAATTTCTCATTTTTCTCTTAAATCTCTTGAAGCACTTAACCCATTGTGATAACTGAAGGAGGAATTTTTCAAATTCATATGACTTCATTGACCACACAATTTGAATGTAATTTCTTGATGTAAGGAGAGTCTTTGTCCTAGTTAAAGACAAACCACAAGGATGAATCTTAAAACTTCAAATTAATTTACTAAGCAGACACTTTGCTGTGCTTTTGGGACAAAGGATGTGAAGGGCATGATCAGCAACTATAGAGAGCTTACTTATGGGAGAAAAAGGCTCAAACAATACAGCCATGGCTTCTTCTCTGTGTCCTTGAGGAATTCAGTCTGCCAGAGAATGAACAATGTACAAAAATAAGTTATTGTTTTTAAAGCTTAGATTTAGTTCATCCTTTTAACAAAGTAGTATTTCAGTCTTTACT